AMCCTTCYTGCMAACCATTCATTTTTATGTTGTAGTTCAGCCTCTGACCACTAGTTGGCAGCAGTGAGCCAGCCATTTGGCTCCTCTACCTCTTGAGCGCCAGAGAGTAAGAGAGCATTAGCATTGTAAGTAAACATTAGCTTTTCTTTCTTTTTTTTTTCAGTAAGAGGTTTTTATTTAATAGAATTTTTGGACAAAAAAATCGCAATATATCATAGTATGTTGCCTTGCTTACAGTATCGCAATATATCGAGATATATCGTAACGTGACCCCTCTTTTATGATATGTATCGTATCGCCAAATTCTTGCCAATACACAGCCCTACTGTTAACAGACTTTTAGATGTAGAAAGAACATCTCTGTAATGATCCACTATAAAAGAGCCCAAACGAGCAAACTATAATGCTGTGTTTTTGCAAAACTAATCCCATTAGATTAAAAGAGAGAAATTACTAACCTATAACCAAACCAAAGCACTGGTGATAAAATTGATCAAAGTTAATTTATTGTCACCCCAAGTTTTTTTTTTTAATCTTTCTTTGAACAGAAAACAATATGAAATGAAAACGGCAGGGAGGCTAAGGGAGAGTCCTGGCAGAAACAAGGGAGCTGGCTTCAACAGATGGGGTGTTGGCTAATAGCCTGAATTTGGCTTGAATCTGGACCAGCACTGCCACTAAGTCCCCAAGAGAGGCCAATCCCTACACTGGACACAACAGTAACCAGCAGAAAACTGACAGAAAAAAAAACATACTTCTTTGTCTAAGCTTGTAGTGCATTTGTTCCACATTTACTCCTCATCTCTGACTTGTAACAAAYGCCATGGATAAAGAAACTCTTCAGACAACAACAGCAATAAAAAGTAAGAAAAAAAACATATTTTAACACTGAAGTTACAGATGGTTTGTCTAAAAGATTGTTTTTTGTTTAGGGCCTTATAATAATCCAATGACACCGAGTTAATACATCATCCTTGTCTGCKTCCCTTCAAAATAAAAGCAGAACAAACACACAGGGAAGGAGGAATAAAACTCACATTCACAAAGGGAWGTGTCCTACCAAGAGGCCTCTCCCTGTCTGTCCACTCATCAGTTAACCCTTTAAAAGAAACCTGGAGCTCAAGTGAATCTACTGTAACTACATTTTATTCCAGAGTCATCACAACCACATCATGCAGTACTTTCGTGCTTCATTGACTACACTTTACTCACTTATTACCACGTTAGCATGTATTTATATATAATGTACTTACATATAACTTGACACCCTCATACAATCAAAGCCTTCAAAGCACGATCGTCACTCTTAATTTACATGTGAAAAGCAGGTGTGTTTGTGGTACACGCCTGTCTGTCCGACCATTGTCTTGTCTTTCATCTTGACATGTCAATGCTCAAAAAGACACATTTGATATCAGATGATTCTCAAACAATTTACAGGCTTGAGATCTGTTTGTGACCTTAGGATTGACTACAAGAGTGAAAATATGTACTCAAAAATGCAAGCTACTCGTTACCCAATTGACAGTGTTTAAGTTTCGCTCCAGAGAAACTGATGTTAAACGGCACCCAGGTTAGCTTAATGGTTAGCTAAGCGGCTAAAGCTAATGTTTCCCGGCTTCTTAAGGCTAGCTTACTTGGCTAGCTAGCCAAGCTATTCTAAAAACATACATAACATGAATGGGGAATGAAATACTTGAGTCATTTAAAATGCATCACTATTATTATGCTATTGTGGTAATTTAGTATTTTAATTTTGCTGCATGCYGTTATCAAACATRAWAAATACAGCTGCGGCAAATTCTGATMCTAAATCCACGACGTTTGCTAACAAAGATTATCCTTCTCCATTCAAATGCTAAGGCTGTGATGAAACTCTCCACCCTGGCCCTGGCACTTGAATATTATYATCCGGGTGCAGCTAATGCTAACACGGACGTCACGCTATGCGGATGAACAACGGTTGCTACATTCAACAAACCCGCAGCAAAGATCTAAAACAACTTACAGAGTGCGACAAGAAAAAGGAGCGGACAGGTAATGAAACTTACCATCACTCCGCTTTATTTCCACGTAAGTACCAACGACTATCTTCCCAAAACTCGATGCCATTCTACATCACTTTAAATTGACAAATAAAGGACTACTAGCCGGGTATCGAAGGCTCCTTCGCCGTTTTTTGATTTGGGGAGGGAAGATGCGGGCAACAGAATGAGGTAGCATTAAAAAAAAAAAAAAGCTACAGAACCATTTCCGTTCCCGGTATTTTCAAAATAAAGTTTGTGTGTTTGCTGCAGACAACTGTCAGATACAACTTGCACATTAGACAACATATTTTATTCAATTAAATCAATTTACAAGTAAAAAATTTTCATTATTTTGTTTGTCTTATTTTATTTAGCTGGATACACTCTGGTTTGGACAGGCAGCAACATTAACAACAAAACTAAAATTACCATAACACTGAAATTTGCATATCATAAACTAAATTAAGTTGTTGTCAAATATAAAATAGGTAGATGAATTTGAAGAAGTAGTCTACTTCCATATGCCTAAAACGTCTGTATCAAGTTGCTAAAACTGTTGATTTTATGCAGGAGGAGCATGTGGGCCACCGTAAGTTTTGTGTTCTTAAAAAAATTGAAAGTAAAAATTTAGACTTCCAATATTTTTCTAAGTTAAAACTGAAAAATAGATCACACAGAAAAGCTTTGTGTGTCAAGTTCGTATTTCATATCGACAGGCTTAAAATCGGTAGAAATTCATGTAGTAATTTTTGCACAAATTAAATAGCCTACTTTTCACAAGATACTCATAATTCAATTGTTTTACTTAATGATGAATCTGAATTAATTCACTTAATTTTCACCAGTGTCATGAATAAACCCCTAAACAACACTAACATGATTAATACTGTAAACTGTATGTGGATGAATGGTACCACCTGGTGGTGATTGCACAAAAATACCCACATTTGTTTAATCWCAAAGCCCAGGAAGCTTTTCTGCTGAATTTATATTCCAAGCACAACTTTGTCAAAGTACTAATGAACTAAGCTGAGCTGAAACGTCATACAAAACATTTAGATGTATAAATAATGTTTGTATATCTTTAAAATAAACTCAGACATGCACAAATTTTAAAAATCTCTCAACAAGCTTCATGCCACACATATTAAACCTACTTTACCTTTCTAAACAATTGAACTGATAACTGGAAAGAAAAGAAAAAATAAATAAATAAAAAAGAAACAAACAGTCTGATAACAGTACATTTACCATTGTACAAAATACAGTTAATGAAAGTAAATTATCAATAAGTCATTTTCAGTTTCAAGTTTTTTGTTTAGCTCTTTTTCAAAGAATGGAAATCATAAAATAAACAATAGTACATAAAAAGATTTGCACACATACACATAACTGAAAAATTCAATCAATATTAAAGCAGTGGTTTAATATCATACCTTCATTCTTTCTGGCTTCCCCAAACCTACAGTATAAATTTAATCCATTTGTCATGTTAAAGTAAAAAAGAAAAAAAACACCTCTTTTTAGCTTTATCATCATCACGTTATTGCCACWCAGGGACAATAATGTTTTCCCTGTGTGCATGTGTTTATTTGGCCTTTGTGTTAGCAAAACATCTCATGAACCAGCGTACAGATTTTCATTAAAGTTTCCATGAAGTAACACACATCTGATTACCATTTGGAGTCAACCACATTCAATTTGGCAGGCACCTCTAAGCAACTTCATCAAGCATAAAAAAGCTATAAATTACTTTTTTTTAAATGACTTTGATCTGAAGTTTGATGTGATAATAACTGAGAACTCAATAATCTGAGCACTGATTTTGCAAGATTTCACAAAATTGTACAAGATTGTGTCCTTAGGTTTCACCAAAACTGCCATAACTTATTCTTTCTTATCATATGATGATCTTAATTTAAAACATGGTATGAAAGGCAGCGGGCGATATGCATTTCTTTATGAAATGTTAGGCTGTTGAGATGAGAGAGCATATAAAGCCACTGAAATACAAAACCTGAAAACCTTTATTGATGCACTTGATGATAGWTGCCAATCAGATCTCAATAGTTCCCGCACTAGTTGCACTTTTTCTTCCCAGTAAACTGTGCAAATTGCATATGAGAACATCCCATGTCTAATAAAAGTTTTAATTCTTAACAGCTCTCCTAACTTTTACATGTTCACCTCCAGCTCCTGAAGTGCGAGATCGTTCTAGAAACTACCAGTTTCTTGTGGACATGCAGTTGTCAATCCCCCCCACCAGTGTCTCCACACACCCGCTCTTKAACCCCCTCTCCCAGCACATTGAGCATTTGCTGGTGAGTTCTCAGCTGTCCGTTCCCTAAATAGACCTCATCAGGAGCAGACCACCTGTAAGGGAATCTCTTAAACGTAATATTTTTGTATTTAAAAAAGTTTCTTTTTTCACAGAGACTTTAACTATATCACTAACTCTGAAAGAATATTTGACGTAGTTGTTGTTGACTTTCTAATAACTCAGTGCATTGTGCTTCCTCTAGGGAYTGGTTGTGATTTGGTTGGACCCCCTTTGTCTCATGGTTGGACCACATTATCTCTGCCCCCACTTCATTGACTGTCGCTATAAATATGAACTAAGGCATGGGTGGGAGAAAACRTCTGACGAAACACTTGTGACTGGAGATCCAGATCATTCACCTAAGCTCGAAAGACAAGAAGGAAGACATCAAGAGTAAATCAAGACACACAAGCTGAAGGTACGGTACAACCTCCGCAAAGACTTTGGTTTTCCTCWGGGTGACAGGTTACAGAAGCAGAAACAAGGTCTGCATTAGAAATGGGTATTTGTTGTGAGGCTCAGACTGGGGTGTGAGATGATGTCCAAATAAGGCTTGAATGGAGGCCATGTAAAGTTACAGATAGCACATGCATGGCCATTTGCTTCAGGAGACCCATCAGGACAAGAATCAATAGAAGAATAATTTAGTTTCAACTGGTAGTAAAACAGTGACAGATTATTCTGCCTCTGCTTGTAAAAATAAATGTGACAAAACTAAAAAGGACAAAACTGTGAGATGTGTTTGACTGATTTAAACCATTTTGTTCTTGTTCAAAATGTTATGTTTTACAAGTCAAGAGTGTATGGTTTCCCTACAGCAGCTTACTGCACGCACTCACCATTGATTGTTACAATTTGAGCAGAAAGCCGACAGACAAAAAAAAGGTCAAACAAAAGGCTGGTAATGAGGTTGATCTTTTTACATGAAAAAACAAAAGATTCATTTTGTATGTCATCATTTATTTTGGCAGATGGGAGACCCGATCCAACTAAAAGATGAAGGTAACAAACACTTTCAGGCGGGAGACGTTGACAAGGCCATTGAATGCTACTCCAACGCCATCAAAGCATGTCAGGACAAGAAGGTTCTGGCTGTTATTTACAGGAACAGATCTGCTTGTTWCTTAAAAAAGGTGGGAACAAAAATAATATAAAACAGGCTCATGCTGAGCAGATTTGAAGCTTGAAGTTCAGATAATTTCGTTAACTTTCTTCTTTTTACGCAGGAAAGCTATGCCAATGCAGTGTCTGACGCATCTAAAGGTAGAGCGATCATTYAAGAAATTAAAGCAAATGCTTGTCATTCAGTAAAGCAATTCCACCAAGACTAAAAACCATTTGATATCACGACTTTCCCTCTTCCTTACTGGTCCACAGCCATCGATGAAGATTCAGCAGACATTAAAGCCTTGTACCGTCGCTGTCAGGCTCTGGAGAAGCTCGGAAAACTGGACATGGCTTTCAAAGACGTGCAGAGATGCGCTACCCTCGAGCCAAAGAACAAGACGTTTCTGGACACTCTCCGCAGGCTGGGAGCGGAAATCCAGGCAAAGGTCAGCGCTGAAAACATATACTGTAAAGACTGCACATTTACATCATCTGGAAACAAAAGGGACATAAACAGTCTGACATTGTCTCCACAGCTCAGGACAACATTTTCCACAGATTCAAGGGTGCAGAACATGTTTGACATTCTCCTCGATGAGGAAATGGAGAAGGAAAARATGGAAAAAGTRGGCACTTTTAATCRTTTACAGCAGATATAAGTGAACAAAGCCAAGGCAGTGGCAGTTTTATACAGCGTTCTCCTCCTGGRTCATTTCTACAGGCGGCCAACAACCTGATCGTGCTGTCGCGGGAAGACGCAGGAGCAGAGAGAATCTTCCAGAGCAACGGAGTGGCTCTGCTGCTCAACATGATAGAGACGGGCAAGGCAGAAATGATCCTGGCGGCTGTCCGCACTCTGGCAGGAATGTGCACGGGCCACAAAGCTCGGGTGAGTCCAAACACGGGCAAAAAGCCAAGAAACCTTCTCTGAATACTCTGAACTTGACATATTTATTACGTGTACAATAACTCCCCTCAAATAATCCTTTTCCTAAACAGGCGATGGCCATCCTTAACATGGTGGGTGTTGATAAGATATGCAGCATCATGGCTCTGGACAATGAAGAAATTGCCCTGGCGGCCTGCAGCCTCTTTCAAAACATCAATGACTCGCTCACTGGGGCGGACACTAGGGATTATGGGAAAGAAGCCTCTTTAGTTTTGGGTAAGAAAATATTATTCATAGAGAATCTGAGTTTAACTGACACATATATTGCTTGTGCTTCCAAATCATTGATTTATTCCCACACAACACAAACATTTGTGTCCATTTGCCATTGGTTCATTCACGTTGTGATCATTTCTTGCAGATACAGCCAAAGATTTGAAAACCATCCTTCTTGCTCTTCTGGAGATGATTGCCAATAAAAAGGTGTCTGGCCATGGTAGAGACCAGGCGYTGAACCTGCTGAGCAAGAACGTGCCTCGCCAAGACAAGAAAGAGAAAGACCACTCCAGGACCCTCTTCACTATAGATCACGGTGAGCTGGACGGTTCCGTTCGGTCGCCTGTTTTAGTGTCTTAATGAAACTCAGATGAGAGGTCTGTGTTTTTTTTTTTTTTAGGTCTGAAGAAGATCCTGAAAGTTTGTGGTCAGGTTCCTGAACTGCCAGACCAGCTGCCCCTGACAGAGAACACACAGCTGATTGCCAGTATTCTTCTCAACAAACTCTACGACGACCTGAAATGTGACCCAGAGAGAACCAACTTCAGGGACATATGTAGTGAATATGTCAGGCATGTCATTACAAAAACACACATTTTCATAGCTTTAAAGGAGTTTTAATATAAATGTTTTTAAACTGGATATTTTTCTTGTTGCCTTTATTCTCCTCCTCGTTGCCACAGATCCAAAATCGACCCCAACGACATGGACAAGTCCCTCCACGCCATTAACACCATCTCAGGGATCCTGCAGGGCCCTTTTGAGGTTGGGAATTCCCTGGTGGGACAGCAAGGGATCATGGAGATGATGGTAGCGCTGTGCGGCTCCGAACGCGAGGTGGACCAGATGGTGGCCGTGGAGGCGCTGATCCACGCTTCCACGAAGATGAGCCGTGCCAGCTTCTTCATCACCAATGGTGTGTCTCTGCTGAAGGACATCTACAAGAAGACAAAGAATGAGAGGATCAAGATTCGTGCTCTGGTGGTGAGTGCGGACAAAGCGGAACTTCACTGTTTACCGCAGATCCAAAAGGGAGATTTCAAACACATTGAATGAGTGATGGAGCTTTAACATGTTGACGTCTTCTGCAGGGTCTCTGCAAACTGGGTTCAGCTGGAGGTGATGATTATGGCTTAAGGCAGTTTGCTGAAGGCTCCACAGAGAAGCTGGCCAAGCAATGCAGGAAGTGAGTTCACACATACAGATACAGATAATTGTCAAAAATCGAATTGTCTGCACAAATTCAGTGTGAATATTGAGTGCTGAATGGCTACTGAAACTGCTGAGTTATTAAAGTAAAAAACAAGTCACACAAGAACAATTAGGCAACTTATGTTGACTTATGAAAAATTTGTTATGATTAATCATATTGGCTATATATTTAATATAATAGTTAGCACTATGGTATGTATAGGCCGAAAAGAGGTTTCCAGTAGATTTTTTTTAATTCCATCTTCAGCTTAGACATCTTTAGTGATGGACAAACTTTTCATAAATTGGCATAAGTTGTCTAAAATGTTATAGTGTGGCAGGATCTCAAATAAAAGCTAAAAACACAGAACACTAACTAAAAGTCAAAAGTATCAAACTGCAAGCTAAAAGCTAAAAGAAGATTAAAGGCTAGCTAAAATCCACAAGCAGAATGATAACTAAAGACAGAAAGTAGCAAAAGAAGACAGATAGATCAAGCTTGATGCAGATTTCAAAGAGAAGGTTTTTGAAGGAATTGAAATAAAATTTCAAAATTATGTCAACAAGGAAACTGTTTACAACATTTTGAAAAGTTTAAAAAACAAAAGGCATGGCACTTATCTCCTGAATGAGCTGAATATTATCATTAATCAAAGGCTAAAATACCACAAAGTACGCAGCAGATTGCAAAAATGTGAAAAAAAAGGGAAACCCAAGACTAACCAATCTATTTTCAGATTTTAGTACGAGTCAATGAAAGCACCAGTTTTTAACTATGAATCATTATAAACACCATACGTACATTGTTAAATGCTTAATTTTCTTCCTTTCTAGGTGGCTTTGTAATCCTCAGATTGATTCCAAAACAAGAAAGTGGGCTATTGAAGGTCTGGCTTATCTGACGAATGATGCTGATGTAAAAGATGATTTCGTGGAAGATGAGCTTGCAATGAAAGCGATGTTTGAACTGGCTAAGGTACACCATAAAACTTACAGTATTATGAAACCCTATGTTTAGATAGAAGTTGTTCAAAAATCCCTTGTCTGCTGTTCTGTTCCATGTTCTGCTCAGGAATTTTTATTATTAATTATGCACATATACAATGTGTTTTTCTCCACCAAATTGGAAACAAATATATGATTCAAGTGCAATCATAAGTAGGTCAACAATGTTAAAGAAAAACCCTACCTGGTACATTTTTATAGAAAAAGTAAAACTAAACCAGACAAGGTAGTTGCATGCAAAATTTGATTAGACAGAAAATAACAAATCTGGTTTTCTTTGTGTTTTCAGTCGAGGGATAAAACAATCCTGTATGCAGTTGCTTGCACCTTGGTGAACTGCACCAACAGCTATGATAAAAAGGAGATCATCCCTGAGCTGGTCCAACTGGCCCAGTTCTCCAAACAGCACGTCCCGCAGCAGCACCCCAAGGTAAAAGCTGCAGAAGGAACTCGGACCACAGTCCTCGTTCAAGTTCACAGGAAACCTCACCAGTTCCAAAATGCATATGTGTTTCTTTTTACAGGACAAGAAAGACTTCATAGAGAAGAGAGTGAAAAGGCTGCTCAAGGCTGGAGTCACATCAGCTCTCGCTGTCATGGTCAAAGCAGACAACTCTGTCCTGACTGACCAGACAAAGGAGCTGCTTGCAAGGTAAGACAGCCAGCCATGTATGACTAACAGGAAATGGGTCAGAGAAAAACTTCAGAGAAAATAAATGCATGTCATTTTTTTGTGTGAACCCTCTCTTATTCTGTAGGGTTTTCTTGGCATTAGCAGAGGATCCCAAAGATCGTGGCACAATCGTTGCCCAAGGCGGTGGAAAGGTGTGTCCTTGAAAAAAAACCCCTGCAAAATCATGCACTGCTAACCAGTTTTTTTTAATGTTTTATAGGCTACTTTTGCGGTTATTATTAAATCTTTTGTTTTGTTCTCAGGCTTTGATACCACTCGCTCTTGAAGGCACGGAAACAGGAAAGGTGAAAGCAAGTTTCGCTCTCGCCAAGATAGCCGCTGTAGCCAACCCCGAAATTGGCTTCCCTGGCGAGAGGGTAAGACTTTCAAACTGTTGCTGTTTTATTGTTTTATCATCAGACAATCTGACATCAGACAAACTTTCGCAGTATTCAGATCTGGAAAAGCTCGCAACAAAAAGAAAAATCTTTCTTTTGAAAGTTTATGGCCCTGCCCTGATCGGGTCCGGGTCTGACCAAATCTACCTAAAAATGAACTAAGAGTACTGTATTTGTGCCACATCTGGCACAAATACAGTATTTCTATAGCACCTGTGGGCCACCTCCGACATAGATCTGTTCTTGATCTGTTATCCAGATCCACCCTGGTTATAGGCTGCTTGGGGGGGGGGGGGGGGCCTGGGCCAAACGCTCACCACTAATTGACTCAGAGGAGATAACTTAATAATAAAAATAATTGTGCTGATAAAGTTTGCAACTGCGCTGCGACGGCAGGTTGCCTTGGAGAAAATGTAATGGAAATGAAAATGCAGCCAGACAAGAAAACTGACACAAACACTTCTTTACATGTTTCATTCCCCTCAAAATAAAGTTGGTTGTTAGCTACATTACTTAAACATTTGCTTTACTCACCATCTCCCACATAAAAGACTGGGTTTAGAGAACAATCTGTGCCGCTGTTCCAAACTGTGCTCTTGTGCCTGTGTTTATTATTGTAAAGCAGTTGGTTTTACTAACCATCATCATTCCTAATAAATGATTTAAATAATAAAAAAATCACAGGTGAAAACTACTAAGTAATTGTTAATAGTTGCTTGACGATGATGCCTGTCATTCAAGGTGTGTACAAACAGAATGCAAGGTGACGAATCACTCCCACGGCCCTCATATCTCAAAAGTGAATCTTGTGCCCCTGGGTTGAACAAAGCTTGTTTACAAAAAAAAAACCTGTTCTCAGTTGCCTTTTCTTGTGACTCACAGGTTTATGAAGTGGTGCGGCCTTTAGTCAACCTCTTGCAAACTGACAAAGAAGGAGCACAGAACTACGAAGCTCTCAGGGGACTTACCAACTTGGCAGGATACAGCGAAAAACTAAGGTCACTGAAGAGAAGGAAGTAGTGGTTACATTATGTATGTAATTTATTTTGCAAAAGAGACTTTGTTTCCACTGTTGTGGTTTTTTTTTCTGCAGGGTTAAGATTGTGAAAGAGAAGGCTTTGCCAGAGATTGAGAACCATATGTTTGAAGAGAATGAAAAAATTCGACTGGCTGCCACTGAGTGCATGTGCAACCTTGTGACATGTAAAGAGGTGAGAACAGATGCAACATGTGGACACTTTGATTAAACAGAATGAAAGATAAAAATAAATATGTGTGCGTTTTAGGTCCAAGCTCGTTATCTTCAAGATGGGAATGATAAGCTGAAGCTGCTGGTGCTGCTGTGTGGAGAAGATGACGACAAACTGCAGATCGCTGCAGCCGGAGCTCTGGCCATGATCACTGCTGCTGAAAAGAAGCTCTGCACCAAGACGACCCTGGTGGTACGTACAGCTGTGATCAGCGGTGCCAGACTGGAGGGTCTGTTCTACAGCGTCAACATTCTGACTGAATCATTGTTGTGTTCCAACAGACGGTCCAGTGGCTTGAGATCCTGCAGAGGTTGTGTCTCCATACCAACCCTATGGTCCAACACCGGGGTCTTGTGACGGTCTACAACATGCTCAACTCTGACGACAGCGAGCTGGCTAAGAAGCTGATCGAGAGCGAGTTGCTGGAAATCCTCACTGTGATCGGCAAATCGGAGGACAATCCCAAGAGGCAGGAGGCCATCGATGTGGCCCGCATGTGCCTCGTCAAAGCCATGGATCTGGGTCTCATCAAGCCCTTCACAGGTCCCTCCTAAAAGGCTGGAGCAGCAAAGGACTCATTGTTTTATCTCCTTGGTTAAAAGAGACTGTTTTTTTAACATTGTTTTTCCAAATGATTCATCAACCTGCTTTTGATTTTCTTATATACATTACTACTTTTGGGACATTTGTTAAGTTTTGGCAAAGTGATAAATAGGCTTTTTTTAATAATTTCCACAATGAATGATAAGTTTATTTGTGCTTTTGTTTAGTTATTGAAAAATAATGTTTATTGTGTGAGTTTGCTGAACTGCATAATTCTTAAACGAACTATTCATGTTTTGCTTTAACAGTTTGAGCCAGATGATACCAATGAACAGCCCCATTGTCAGTTCAATTCAATTCTTTAAAGCAACTGTCAGATTTTCAAAACTATTCACATTCAGCTGTGGCAGAGTGATTAGGGGAGTCATCCTGGAACTTGAAGGTCACCGGAAAGTCATCGATCCCCTGTTCCAGACGTTTCAGTTGTTGTGCACAGTTGTTAAGTTTAAGACATTTACCATTCTTTACCTAAGTAGAAGTATAGATACCGGGATTTAAAAATACTTTTTTGGAAGTAGATATATCAACTCAAACTTTTTACTCAAGCAAATGTATAAAAGTACTGGTTTTAAAACTACTTAATGTATAACAGTAACAGTAATGTACATTAAAAAAAGCCATCAAGAATAAAAGCTTAGGCCATGCCACTCCCCACCCCCCCATTTTTTTTCTAAAACCAATAATGAGTTTGTTAAAATAAAATGTTAATGTTGAAAAATGTGTAATTTACTGACTAGACTACTTGTTTCAGTCATGTTATACAGTATCTCTGCCATGAACATCTTCATTCTAGGCAACATTTGTCTGTTTTGTGACATGATTTACGTCATATAGATGTGATGGACCATGCTCCATCCAGTAGGGAGTCAGAATGGTACATATACATGTATATACTAACGGTTTACAAAAAGTATACTTCTTAGGACTAAGTGGGTCCACTTTAAGTTTATGAAAGTATACTCAAAAGTGTACTGAAAGTACTCTTCTAGGTATACTATTAGTTTACTGTGTAGGGGTCACCTCGGGTCAAATTATCAAGGAACTGTCTTGGACTCTCAGTCCTCTGATGGGCCTTGGAAGGGACAAACTCTGTTCCACTTAGAACTGTATTTAGGCCACCCCAGGTAGCCTTAACCTCAAAGAGATATTGTTCTGTCTACCTGGTCGTGTCCTGTTCCATGTTCTTCGTCTACCTCCAAGTCAAAGTGAGTTTTGCTGTATTTTCAGCCTCCCTGAGTTTTGCATTAAAGGCCTTGTGTTTTTTTGATTTTTGACATCTGCCTGTGCCCTGGGTTATTTTGTCGGTCCTCACAGCCACATTACTTTGACCTCATCCAACTCCTGGTGAACAGTTACTACACCATCAGGCAGAAACATGTTGCCATATTACACACCTCACAGCTTAAAAAAAGTGTCTGTTCATCAGAAACTGACTAAGCTCATTCTCTTCAAAGGCCAATAATTAAACAATACAGAAAAAATACAGTAAAGTACAGAATAAACTATGGACTTGCATTTATTTTACAAAATATTGTCAATCTTATTGAGCACAATTTTGTTTTAAATTTTAATTATTTTAGTTTATTATGTATTTCTAAACGATGTTTTCAAAATGATGCTTTTAAGCCTTGATTTTTGTATTGTACTTTGACAGTGTAATTTTAGTATACTTTCTTTTACTTGTTTTGTATTGTACTTTGACAGTGTAATTTTAGTATACTTTCTTTTACTTGTTTTG